GATTATGTTATATATATATATATAACATAATCGATTATGCTGTATATATATATACAACATAATCGATTATGCAAGGCTACATAATCGATTATACCCTTACATAATCGATTATGCTTCAACATAATCGATTATGTAAGGTCATAGTCGATTATGTATTCTTGTATAATCGATTATGTTTCCTTTGTATATGCTTTTTTCATTGCATGGCACACTATGCATGCATGCGAAAGGGTATTTATGGGTTTTTATAAATCTTACGTGACTTTCTTCTCCTTTCTTCGCACAAAAGCGAGGACGCGAATCACGCTTCTTCCTCCTTTTCTTCGCCTTTCCGTCGTCGCAAATCGCTGGAAACGAACAATAAGTTTCTTCGCCTTTCTTTGCTCATGAATAGTAAATCCCCGGAAACAAACACTACCTAAGAATTGCGTTCGGTACACTATAGGGTTTTAGGGATGACAAATATAGTCGTACCCGCGAGAATCCATCCCGATTTTGACGGGGAATATCTGGTTTGACCAGGTACGGGTACGGGTAAAATCCGATATATTAAATCGGGTACGGGTACGAGTACGGGTCCATATTTTTTTTACAAAAAATAAAAAAATTGACGGGTACGGGTACGGGTATACTCAATACCCGACAGGAATGGGAATGAGGATGAAAATCACATACCCGACGAGTACGGGGACGAGAACGGGGATGGATTTGACTTGTAGGAACGGGAACGGGTATCATGAAACCCATACCCACCCCGCCTCGTTGCCATCCCTATAGAGTTTACATTTTGAAAAGTATTTTTCTTAGTTTAATTATAACGTTTGAAATAATACAATAGCGTTATGTATGAACAACAAAAAGAAATTATTTATATTTAATGATATAATGAACTTAACTTAGTATTTTATTATTATTTGATTAACAAATAAAAAAGATTGTCTAAATAAAAAAAAACAAATATGTTAAAATAAACAACAAAAAAAAACAGGCTATGCACCATCAGTGTATGCAATTTTACATATGACTTTTTACAATAAATACTTTGTAAATAAGGTAAACAGTGATTGTTAAGTGGTTGACATTGTAATTTATACTAATAGTATAAAATCATTAAACCCTAAAATAAAAGACAAATAATAATCAATGACTTTTCATTTTTATCATATATGGAAAATGCATTAGAAAAGACTTAGACATTATCCCAGTTCAAAACATTCAAAATTTAGCGAGTGTAACCTCTCTCCCAAGTTTGGAAGTTTCCTGCTATATATCAAGTCATATTTGGGGTCAGAACCCCTTATCTCACCCTCAAATCTCTAGGTGATATTATATTCTTATTATTTTTAAATAGTTTTACAAATCACTTTTATGACTATTTAAGTACGTATTGTTGATACTATACGATTTTGCAAATTATAACATCTTCATAGCTCATGAAATAGTGTCTATAAAATGCAGAGAAACACCATTGATGGTAACATTGTTAATTTGCCATTAAGTGCAACATCTTCACAACACACATCATAGAATATCATCTAAATATCGAGACACAATCTTAAGTAGACTTTTTGATGACTTGGACGATACAATTTTTATTCTCCTAATATTTAGAAAATTTATCTTAATTTAAATTTATAATATGTGTAATAACCTAAGTTACTACGGACTGACAAAAATAAATTAAAAAATAAGGACTCATCACAAATATTTATTTTAAGGATAAACATAAAATAAAGAAAATGGTCTATGAAAATAAATTTTTGAGTTTGAAAATCAGTTAAGTGTAAAGAAAATATTAGCATCTTACAACAATGGTTACCTCTAATTAATTAAATAAGCTATTTATAACTTAAAAATATTTATCTCATCATATATTAATAAAATTAACTATGACAATCAAATATATTTTATTTTATAATTGATTATATTTTTATTTTAATGAATAATAAAATTGTTGTTGTTGTTATTATTATTGTTGTTGTTGTTGAAAAAAAAAAGAGAGAATATATTATTATTATTATTATTATTATTATTTTATATTTTGGGTTTGACTAGAATGATTTCCTACTCTGATATATCTTTATGTGAAATAGAAAATCAGAGTCATGTAGTTCTAAGAGAAAATAGTTGTGTTAGAATTTTTATAAAATTTTTATTTTTTTACAGATAATTTTTATATTTGTTAGATCTTAAAATTTATGAACTATCATATTTCATGGGTTTTAAATTTTAAAATTAATAGAAGTGTACACCCAAACCAATCTATTTGAATATTTTAATTATTATTTTTATTATAAAAATTAATCAAAGGAGAAATTTAAATATACTAAACTGTCACAACTTGTATTCTTGTAATTTCAAAAAGTTAAATAATGTCTCATCTGTTTAAGTCTTTTTTCATTTTGATAAATTCATTTATTTAATTGATATAAAAGACATTATTATGAATTTACAAGAAAATAAAATTAAATATTGAATAAAGCATTTCTAATAAATTAAAAACTTGAATACACAATATATTTATAATAAAAATATAAAAAATATGATAAAAGAAACTAATTTCAAGAAAACAATTTACTTTGGTAAAGCGTCTTTATCTACATAACAACTTATGCTTCTCCAATCAAAACCTTAAAAGAGAAAAAAAAAAAAAAAACTATAACAACAACAACAAAATTACATGCCTAATGTTTTCCATTAGACCCTTCAAAAATTTACTGTAGCAGGTTCAATGTTTCTACTAATCTCAATTTTTAGATATCCAATTGATGAAATTTTTTATCATGTATTTGAAGGTTTAAAGTCTCCTCCTTACATGAGGGGAGGAGGACGTGCATGACATTATTATGGACAATATAAGATTTTTGATTGAGAAAAAAATAAAGTGAGACTTAACATTTTTTTTTTAAAACAAATCACATACTTTGGATTGATTTTCATCAAGATGGAGAAGAATTTTGGTTTTCAAGCTAAAGATAACAATTGTAAATTTATTTCAAGCTTTCCAACGTTGCAAAAAAACACCTTAAACAAATATTCATAGCAAAAGATATGATAGTGTAACTTAAGTTGTTGAACTAAAAACTTCAAACTTTTTTTTTTTCAAGTTATTTATTTAGATAAGAGTATACATACTTCTCATTTGTTATTTTATCTCTTCTAATTTATTTTTTTTACTTTTCTCTTTTTTTGTTATTTTTCATTTTATTTTGTATTATATTTTTTTTAATTTTTTTTATACCTTTTTTATTACTATTTTTCTTTCAAAATTTAAAATTTTCCGAAAGAAATTGGGTTATTATATTATTTTTAATTTACCCCACTCTCTTGTTTCTTAAAAATATAAATATTAATTTTTTTTAATAAGTAAGAAAACTAATAAAATGATATTATAAGAGTTCTTTTCTTTTAATAACAAAATTTCAACTTGGTAAGTTAGATTTGGACATTTGACTAAGATCAAAGCATGCTTTAAGAGTTAAAGAGAACTTCCAAAATAGTATTACTCACTAATAAAATTGTCACACGGTCAAATTTGAACCTGTAGGTAAAAATAATGAGATTAGAAACTAAATCTAGCTATACCGTCTCATTTAATTCTAGAGACCACACATCCTCTAGGGCTAGGCAAAAGACTTATGAAATTTGATTGTTCAAAAATGAAAACAGCAACGTCATGATCTGAAGACCACACATCTTATAAATTCTAAACCTTAAACTTTTTCAGTAATTTGTTTTGAAAGTACTACCATGATAAAAAAAATAAAAATAAAAATATGTTTTATAAATTAAAATTAACTTAAATATACATTAATTTATAAAATTGTCTGATATTAATCATATTTTTTCTCTTATTTTAACTTATCTAAACATACTCTAGGAAAAGGAAAGAGTATAAAACACAAAAAATAATATAAAAAAATGATGCGTCAAAGTATACTGAATAAGGGAATTGAATTCAGTTGACTGACTTTTGTACGTGAATTACTTAATACCGTGTTTGATTTATTGGCTAATTACAAGTGCTACTGCTAAACCTAATTTAGAACAACTACTCTAAAGAGAAACACTTAAATTGTTTTTATTGTTAAGAAATCACATCCAATTACATAATTAGACGACATATTACGCAATCGTATAGAAGGTATAGGTTACAAAGTATCAATCAACATCAAATTACACATAATGTAGCATACCAACAACCATGAAGGAAATTGGAGAAGAAAATGAGAATAATAGCATGACCCTTTTCCTCCGATTATTTAAAAGCAATGAATATATTTAAAAGTAGGGTTTATGTTGTGTCCTCTCAATAATTCATTAACCAGTTAGGAGTGAAATTGAAAAAAGTTTGTCAACTATATGCTATTATGGTGGCAGCTTCACAGTGGCAGTGGAAGCACGTTACTTCCATTTCCATCGTCTATTTTTCTCTGCCTCAACCAAAGCCACTTCAGGAGCACCACCCAATTCACCACTACGCAGGTGCATGTGCATTTTCTAGTCCCTACCTTAAATTCATTTTTCTTCTTGTTATGTCTTATTTTATTTGATTTGCTCTTATGGAATATGTTTTATTTTGTCCATGAATGTGAATGATTTATCATTATTTTGCACATATAAAATCGATCGATATAGCTTTAGTTTTGTCTGCTTATGATAAATTCATATATTATTGTCGTACTGTTTTTCCAATTAAAAGTTAGAATGATATTGAGATTTGCTACATTGGTTTGATTGCAACTGCAAAACTGCATTCTGTTTCTTGACTAGCCAGGTGAGATCACGTGCATGTATATTCTACTATGATTGTTCTCCCCCTTTATTACACTACTATAGGAAGATGATTTGAGAAGATAGTTATGATAAAAAAAATATATTAAGATTTAAAAATTAGTAAGTTGTATATGAGAGTGAGTGGTTTTTTGTATTCATCACATAGGGTGACTAGATAGATTTTAAAATTATAGAATTTAATTATGTTTTTGGTCCTCTAAATTTAGGATATATATATTTTTGGTTTACTCAAATTTAAAATATGTATTTTTAGTCTTCAAAATATAAAAAAAAATATTATTTTAGTCCTTTAAATTTAAAATTTATCATTTTAGTTTTTGTAATTTTAAAAAATATTTTTTTAGTCACTAATATCAATAACTCTGATAATGACAAATTGTGAGGGACAAAAATAATATTTTTTTTAATATTTTAGAGACTAAAAACATAAATTTTAAATTTGATAAACAAAAAAATATATACCCCAAATTATAAATTGTGTAGAGAAGTTTAACTGTCTAATAAAAATAGAAAAAAATAGTTATTTTGACATGTATCCCTTTTATAATAACTAAGGAAAAAGAGATACTATAATATTTTTTAAAATAAAAATATATAATGGTTTAGATGTGAAAAAATATAAACTCTTAATTGGTTCAAAAACTTAACATGACTCACTTTTGATTTGGCCCACTTGGATTGAACCTGTTGAGGGTCGAACTACCCACCTAACTGACTTACACCATCCATCAATCCAATCCACCAATGGTTTGTTTAAATATTTATTGTTATATA